AGAGTTATCTGCGCTAGCGGTCCCTAATTTAGCAGTAAAAACTAGAGGGGAGGCAGCTAGTCATCACCACCCACCGCCAACTCTTGTGCTACTCTTTTACTAACGAATGGTGGGATTGGCCGCACATTATAACGCCCCCACGGCTGAAAGGGCGAGCATGTTTGGTGGCACGGAGATTCGAACCCACAACTCTCAGATTGCGAGTCAAGCACTCTAATCGCCTGGCCATGTTGGACATATAAATAGGGCTTATTGATTTGTTCTCCATGTTGATGCGATTACTTTGTAAAAGGTTTATTTTCTAATTGCACTGATACTTTTTTCAATTTTAAAAGTCATTTTTGTGTTTTCTTTATCTAAGAGTTATTTCATATCCTGTGCTATCTCAGTTTAAAAGGGCTATTTTTCATGTATTGTGTTTTTCTATTGTTTACAGGGTATTGTGATTTATGATGGGCTTCACTGTTTAAGTTTTCATTTTTTGTCTTGCATAGATTGTTAGATTAATCCCTTCTAAATGGAGTAGGTGAGCTGTATGGCAACATTTTTCTTTTTATACTTAAAGTTGTTTTTGCCTTTGTATTTTTTAGAGTTGTGAGCAACTAGTTTTTCCAGAGAAAGGTGAGCTTCACTATTTTTTAAGCAACACATGCTTAAAGTTTAATTTGGAGGTTTTATATAGTTCTACATATATGAATGATTGGGTTGTCCTGAAGAAAAAGAAAGGAGATGTAACAAACAATGGTGTTTGCTAATTCTTTTGTTAAAATGAAAATGTTTTTAAAATTATTGTATTTTTCAGAGTTCTCAGACTGGATATAAAGAATTGGTTAAATGAACTTTTTTTCTGTTGTGAAAGCATTCAAGATGTACGTTTGCTAATTGGCAATTAGCCTATTTGATTTCAAGGAAGATAGCACATGCAGAAATAGAAAGCTAGCTAGATCGTGGATGTAAGGTGCATTTCCTGTGCAGGACCAACTTTGTTAGTGTATGTTGTTTTTGTACACAAAGCCAGGTTCACCTCTGTAAGACAGATGTAAAGATTATAAGATTGGCAATAGTAAAGTATATACATAGAATACTCAATACTCTTTTCTGAAGCCATCTTTCTTCCTCACAGTTAGATACTCATCACTGGAGTTGTGAAGGAAGACAACTCAACACTCTTCACTTTGTGGTAGTCCAAGGGTACACCAAACACACAATTTCTTAATCTTCACAATAACTGGAGATTAGCGGACCTAGTGTATATAGACACAATGTAGCAATTTCTTGCAAATGGAAACAACTAAACAAGACTTGGTATGAAGTTAAATGAAAACAATCTACTTATTGGAAAAGGAGAAAAGAAACTGGCTAATAATCTACAATGAATATTGCATTATTATGAAAGTTGAAAAGAAAAATAAACTGTAATAAATTAAAAATAAAAGAAACTTTTTAATAAAAGAAAGAAAGGAAGGCACATTTTATCTGAAGATGATTTGAAAATGAATCACACAATTAACAGTTATTTGATTAATATTAAAATACAGAAGATACTTCAATAGAAAGATCTGATTCCTTCAATGCCAGAAACAAATCTGCTCGAAAGTGCTAAAACTGAGTTTATAATCTAGCTGGATCACACATACCTGGAAATATAAACCTTCCATGTGACCATTACAGATAGGGGTTGCAATTCTGATCCCAAAATCCTGTATGGTAATAAAGCTTCCCCAATTCCGGGATTTATAGAAGAGAATTTCAAGAATTTGGGAATTGTATTAACCCTTTTTTGACTGGAGGAATGTTACTGATATTCCCTGATTTCTTTCTCCTCACAGTGGTAACAGTTAACCATATTGTATAAACATGTTTAACCAGTGAGGTTTATTGATGAAACTTCCTTAAAAGCCAATAGAAAACTGCTTGTCTCATGTTTACTTACTTACATTCTGAATATTGAATACCCTTTCTTTCTGGATTATGGTGACATAATACAAAAGTTGTCTTATTAACACATTTCTAAAATAATATAATTTTAATAACAGAGCTATTCATGAAAATGCTTAAAGTTTTATCACTTCTGTACAGTCTTGGGCAAAATTGTTCCTTATTTTATTTCAAATAACATCATTATTGTTAAGATGGAATACAAATACACTTAACACTGTCAAACTGAGAAATTTATGTGATATTAAACATCTACATATATTATTTGTATAATGAGCAAGGTTCTATGGAAATCATGAACGACTTATTAGAACAGCAAACAATTTTAACGGATACCTGTTGAAAGATGAGTCATCCAGCATTTCACCTATCACAATAAAACCTTACCAATACATATATAAATATGCAAATTATTGTAAATAGCATCTGAAACCTTATATCAGTTCATATTAAACATTCAATATTTGGTTAGTCCTCGTTCTACTCTAATAACCTCTGCAAGGCGACGTGATATGTTATCAATGAGGTAATTGATGTAATTCATCGTGATCTCATCTAAACTTGTCACTAAAAGGCGCTGCAACTCAGCTACAGTAGCAGGTTTAGGGTCGTGTTTAGTAACTTTTTGCCTCAGTTCTACCAAACAATTCTCAATGGGATTAAAATCTGGAGACTTGCTGGCCATGACAATCTTGTAATATCCTGAGTCATTAGTTGTATCAAGATAGAAGTCAGGGACTTTTGCGGCATTTGCAAAAGCCCTATGCTCTGGAGAGAACTTCATCTAGACCCAACAACCCTCTAGACAACCATTTCCATTGGTGATTGATTCTTCCTTTTGGTTTTAAATCTTTCTTGTCACGGAAAATTACATTTCCTTAATTATGAAGCCTTTTAAAAACTTAATCATAAAAAGTTGAAGCAAAGAGTAGTGCACACTTCAGCAGATATAGAAAACTCTATAATACGATATCCTACAGTCATGGCACCAAAGTTTCCTCCCACCGATCCACTCTGTGGTATTAATCAGATAAAACTGAATTAACCTTCGGGCTGTGGAATAGGTCAAATTGATAGCTAGAGATGCAGTCCAGATATCGACTATGAAGTAATGCTAAATCTTTTACTAAGTGATCCATGATGTTAAATGGATATTGAGATTGAGTACAAGGTTAAATGAAAAATTAATAATCATTATTATAGCACTAAACACAAACACAATGTGTACATTTGCTTCTATTTATACGAAACTGTCGCTTCTACTGGATTCTCTTAACTTCTGTTCCTTCAAGGTCCTGTTCCAGACTGTTTCAAACCAACATTTCTTAATTCACAATAAATGTTGCATTGACACAGAGCAACTAGTGATACTCACGCCACTGTCACTTTCGTTTCAGTATATGTGAAGCCATTACCTCTAACCATTGTGTGAACAACAGATGAAGGACATTGTTGTCGACGACCTTACACAACGTGAAATACTGGAGCAATATCCCCCATGGGCACAGCAGATATTATGTACCCGAGAACAAAGGAGCAAAGGGAGCTAGAACATGTTATGAAATCTGTGAAAACGCAGAACAAAGAACAACTTCAGAATAAATACTGTTACGACAACGCAGGTCACGTGACGCTTGTATCACGCCACTTCCTTCTCGAACCTTCACGAAATGTCGGAGACTACTAGATTGGGGTAGTCTTGTATATATAAGACCGGCCAAGAAGCAACGTAAGGTAATGTGTAATTGAACTGCGGAGAGAGAATATTGTTGAGCACGTGAAACGTTCGTTGTGAATTATAGCGTTTGTTATAGCGCGACTGTTGAAATTAAGTGTATCGCAAAGTTGTATTCAGAAAGAATAAACCAGTTTTATTTAAGAAAGGGCTTGTATCGGTAAAGTTTCTTCGGAAAGAATTTTTACGAAACATTAACTAATGAACGGAGACGTAACAAATTGGTGTAAGAGAGTGGGACGGAAAACAAAAAGAAAAAAATATGGAAACGAGAGGCGGCAAATCAAACTACAGCTTAGCAGAATTTGGCATCGGAAATGTATTTTCATTTTAAAATATTTGTTTCTAGGGCATACTGTACTAATAGATTTTATCCTTCCTAGAGGGCAAACACCCATTTTTTTTATTTTTATAATAAGGCTCTTTTTTTTGTATATCTGCAACACATGTGAATAACTGTATATTCTATATTGATTTTACATTTCAAAATGGCCTAGCATAACCTAATGCTTAGGTTGCTCGACTCGCAATGAACGGATCTCGGGATCGAGCACCTTCACTGAATATGCTTGCCCTTTTAGCTGTTTGAGCATTATAAAGTGATGATGTTCAATCCCACTATTTGTTAGTAAAGAGTCGCTCAAGAGTTGGTAGTAGGTGGTGTTGACTAGCTGCCTTTTCTCTAGCCTACAACTCAAAATTATGGACGGTTAGCGCAGACAAACCTCGAGTAGCTTTACATGAAATTCAATAAATAGACAAACAAACACTTAAACATCATGGATATTGAGAGGTTTGGTTTGGTTTGTTTTGAATTTCGCGCTCAGATACACGAGGAATATCTGCGCTAGCCGTCCCTAATTTAGCAGTGAAAGACTAGAGGGAAGGCAGCTAGTCATCACCACCAACTCTTGGGCTACTCTTTTAACAACAAATAATGGGATTGGTCGTGACTTTATAACGCCCCCGCGGCTGAAAGGGCGAGCATGTTTAGTGAGACTGGTATTCGAACCCGCGACCCTCAGATTGCGAGTCAAGCGCCCTAACCATCCTGGCTATGCTGGGCTATTATGGGAGGAATAGGTATGCTGTGGACCTGACCCTCCCAGGTCGCGCACAACGACCAAATACCAATCCAGAAAAGGCATTATGGATATTATTTAATAGAAATCACATCTTCCATTAGTGAATTTTGTTACTAAAATGTTTCTCTAAGCAATGTTTTCAACATAAATTTAAGAGATAATGAAATATAAAGAACGATTAGATATTTTATTTTGATTTGAATATTCTAGAAATAGTTTTTGTTTTTATTCCTATTATATATGTCCCCATTTTGCTTCTCACAGCGACATATTTCAATAAGAAAACCAAAGCTAGCAATGATCAATCGTACGGAAGTAACAGTTTGTGGTATTGAAAATGAGAATTATTTCTAAAGTAAAAGAAAAAAATTACATCTGGTGACAGTATAGTTTCACTCACTTTAACTAAGTGCAACTTTTTTTCTACAACTTCCTCATATTAAGATGTCTGTAACGGAAGATAAATTGAAGAGATATGAAAAAATTGAATTTCTGGGCGAGGGTCAGGTAACTTAAGCCTTAGGTTAAACAATTATTGGAATTAACACTCTCCTACTCCTAGTGTAAAAATTACGACAACTGTCAACAAAGATAGATATCTGTTGAGAATAGAGTTGATTTGTAAGCAATGAATATAAGAAAACAGTGAGATTTTAATAAAAGGAGCGTTCTACAGTTGTGACGTTGTATTCTTGAGGAAAATCTGCTATGTAATACTAATACCTTATACACTTTCAATACCAATTAAACTATTTTAATTTAATCAATATCCTTATGTTCACTGTTCACAAACCCAAATGACAGCTCTATTTCATAGGGAAGGGTCTTATATTTATGTATTTAGAATTGTTTTGTGAAATATTTATTAAAAAGTAATTAGAAAATAGTTTCATAGAGTGAAGTATTCAATTAAAAAATCTGACAAATCATTCAAATAAGTTTTTGTTTTATGTTACAATTTCTATGAGAACAAAAGATGTAATGAATACTTTATAAGTTTATTGTACACTAAGAATAATTTAAGTGCTAATACCAGGATTCTTAAAATGAAATAACTATTTTTTTCATTTTTTGTTTATTTTTATTATTATGTCCTTTAGTTGAGCTGTTTCTTGAACTTGTTTATGCACAAAAGAAATTTATGTATGTTTTTTTTCTCCCTTCAAATACTGGTGTGCAGTGCTCATTTTAAATCTCATTGTTTTCATACTTTGGCCTTCATATGCAGTGCCAACATAAGTTATAGATCTAAAAGTCTTTAGGCCTGATTTTTATACTATCACAGTATCTAATTATTTACATTCAAACAACTCATGTGTTTCTTGTATCTTTTTTTAGTTATCATTCTTACAAAACAGAAACTTTAGTTGATTATATTTATAGTTTTAAATGACTATGCGAGTAGTTAAGGTACACTTCCATATTTCAGGATATTAAACATGTAGTGAGATGACACTTCTTTTACTATTAAAGAGTAGCATCCCAAGAACTTTCTGTACACATACATTTCAAATTAACATAAATATGATTCCTTTATCCCTACAGACCACATTATGATTTCAGTCTTAAAAATGATGGGTTAGTGTTACAATACAAACCTTCCAGCTTATGTGTGCTACTTCTTTACAGGTCATAAAATGATATATTGGGCTTCATATTTCATTTATTTAGGATAGCATATTACTTGTGACCAAATAACCTTTTTTAAAAGATTTAAGTGTAAAGTATTTTCAAATAGAAGTGAGGTAGTCCAGAATCCAAAAAAGTTGTACTACTCTAAGGGAATATGAAGATATAAAAAATACAAGTAAAATTTGGAACAATATTTAGTAGACTACTCAGTATCAATTTTTCACAATTTTAATTTTAAGTAAATAATTGTCTGTACTGACCAGAGCTTGAATCCTGAATCTCCAATTTGTGCCAAGACTTTAAGACTGGTGCTCATCCAAATAGGGTATCAGGGCTACAAGCCTTAGGCAACAACTTTCTTAATTTTTACAAGAATGAAATTTGTTGATTTGACCAACCTTGGAACTGTGAAACTGTACATACTATAACTTTAAATTTACCGAGTCTATCTTGAAATTTGGTAAGCTTTTAGTAAACATTACATGTCTGTTGTACACAGAAAATCAGGTTTTTTTGATAAAGTATTTATACTAAAGATTTGTCTATGAATTTCTGAAGCCTTTACTGAGATAGCCTTGAGCGATAGGTAATTTTCATGCTGAGAATAAAAATACTTATTATTACTGTACAGCTCTAACATTTCATTTGTAGCACCTCTAGAACTTCTTAAATCAATTTCAAAAGTTTTTCAGGAAAACTTTATATTTAATCTCTTATTTTTGCTACTCCAGCACTAACTATAGAGAAATAATCAATGTATAGCGAAATGAAAAGTTGAAAAGTATGAAATAAAATGAACAAACCATTTTTTCCTCATCACTGACTGCATTTTTGATCAAAAAGTTCCAAATTACTTATTTCAATACTTTCAACTGTAAACCTTTCAAACATCTGTTTTATTTTCATTTTATGGTTTTATTGCTGTACTTTGTACCACTGAAACAGTAATACTTGCTTAAAAAACAGTAGGTTACAGCAGGACCCCATTAGCTGTTTACCATAGAGCTAACATAACAGCAAGTGATTTAGTGTCATATTTCACACCAGCACTCAAACTAGTGTAATTTTAGATGTTTTATTTTACTGAAGTTTTATTAGGCTAAGACTAAAAGAGTATAATTTTTATGTTTTAGTTACTTTTGTTAACAGAAACGTAACAATAAATAAAAATATACTGTAATAAACAAGGATTTCTGGTACTTGTTGCATATTGAGATTTTTGTACTCGAGTATAAATATTTGACATTCTTCCCTAAACTTCACTGAGTCTTACAAACTTAGGTGTCCAAAAAGCATTAGTGTAGTGTTCAAATATGCATTTTTAAAACACAAGATATATCAGGCATTAGAATAGAATGCAGCTTTCTAAGTAAGTTATAAATAGGTTAACAAAATTCCTGTAATAACCTTTCAGAGGGGTAAAAGCATGATTACATAACATTTCTATCAATTGAATACTATCCTCATAAAATTCCAAAGAATGGTTGTAAGCTTGATATGGAGGTAAAGCTGCTCTTTCTGTTGGTTATAAAGATGTTCATCAGCCATCTAAAGTTGATTAGCAAACATTCTGTAAAACTTGAAAGAGAGGAGGAGGGCTTCTCTGATGGCTTTAAGAAATGTGTTGATATATCAGCAAATAGAGAAGGTAGGAGGTTGAAATTATGTATTCTTGCTTGTAATTATATATAGTATGTATTTCTAATTAGTTGGAAACTGCAGCAGCCCATTTCAGAAGTCAGAAAATTCTGCAGTGAAGAATTCAGATCTGAGATGCTTCTTGTGACAGAAAAATGGAATTAGATACATTTAATATTCATGATGTCAGAAAAACACACAGGTTCAAGAAGTCTAAACATAAAAATGATAAAAACTATAATTGAGCACTTTCAAAAGGTGGAATTTTTTTTTTTCAGGGATAAATTGGGAATGTTGGTGTAACTGAATGAGTGATATATTAGGTTGTCAAGAAATTAATGTTGCATTTTGAAACACTTTCATTAACCACCTCCCAAAAACATACATCAAGTATTATAGTTAAACGAACCGCCTAAACATCACGTTAGTGTAGCCTATATAATGTGTAAAGTTTAGTATACTCTAATCCCTTATAGTTATGGCTGTAATGCTGTTTGAATACAAG